TGGCTACATGCTATAGTATGCTCTGAAGATCAAGCAAAGGATCCTTCTCTCCCCTTTTATGGATTGCATGTCCCATGCCATGTTGCCCTTTGGGTCTTCCCAGTCTACCTATCCATGTTTCTTTGAACCATAAGAGTGAGTGATGGCCTCCTCAGTTATCCATTCATGAAGCTATTAAATAAGTAGACTCTGAAAAGGATTTAAAGCTGGAATAAGGAAACATGATAACCAAATGAAGAAAGTAATGAGAATCTGAAAATATTTGGCCAGAACAAAGGTGTGCTTTGGTGAAGAGTCTGCTTATGCTTCAGATGACTGCTTTCAACCCTAAGAGTTTTTTTTTTACCATCCATTCACTTTCTCTCTAACCTATCATTGGAATTGCATCCTCCATTCTCAAGGCTTAATTTTTCAGAATATGGGGGAATACCCTCATACTTTATATATGAATAAAAATGGAAAAATTGCAATTGTTTTTTTTTTTTACTTGCATGAAGGCAAGCAAGCAAAGTAACTTTTACAAATGTCTTCGAGATTCTACATCCATTCTCTTCTGGGAAAAGAATTAGCAGACTTATATTTAGATTTTCTGTTTTCTGTTGGTGAACTGCAATATGAGTTAGCAACTGTGGGAGAAAATGGTACTTTGATCTTTCCCCAATTTAAATTTTCTTAACTTGTATTTGTCACTAAACCTGATACACCTCTGTTGCCAACAAGCACCTTTTAGATGAAGACCATACTTCTATCATGACCTCCAAGGCCTACCACTCTTCTCTTCATGTAGCCAGAATGTCTGTATTATTCAGTGCTCAGTGCTTCAAATTTTGTATCTCCAGACCTGTACTTATATTTCCTCTACCTAAAATGTTCTTCGTCTTTCCACCTTCTTCACCCTTTGAATGCTCAGCGTAAGAATTGCTTCTCCTGAAGCCTTCTCAGCTTTCCTCTTTTCCTGGTGGAGCCTTCCTTTCCTACTCCCTTCACTTTTCCTTCTTGTGTGCACGTCTTATTCTCCCACTACATGTTAAGCTCTGTATGAGAGAAGATGGTAATAACTGATTTTATATAACTCCCCAACTCCACACTCCCTACTTTGGTACCAGCCATGTGACCTTGGAAGTAGTAATGCTGGCTAGATAAAGGAAAGAGTGAATGCCTGAAATTTCCATCCTTTCCCAGTCTCCATTTAGTAATCCTAATTTTAACAGTGTTGCAAAATTCAGGCCACCGGAATTCCTTGCCTCCCTACACTGGACACACTACTATTGAAGATGTTGAGAGCCATAAAATGGTAGTCCTGAGACCCTGCTCCTAGGAGTTAGAGACATCAAAAGTGTCAGGCACCAGTGTTGTAGCTGGGAAATTACCCAAGAGGAATTGGCTCCCAAAATGGCTGGGTGGGTCCCTCTGAATCCAAGGTCAACCCTCAAAGATCAGAAACTCCATTTTTGTTATTGAGGGCACTGGAGAAAAGGTGGGAAAAGTACCTAAGTTTTGAAGCCAGAAAACTGTGGGCCCAGACTTCCTGCTAGCTGTGAAATCCTAGGCGAGTTGCCTCACCTTTAAGTGCACCCTGCTGCAAAGCAAGAAAGATGTACACTTTCTGAGGATGATGAAAAATTTGAGCAAAAACTCAACTCAAGCTGCAGGGCCTCTGAAAAGCTTTTCCAAGTCCCCGATCTAATGTTAAGTAGTCTCCTTTTTGCTCCCATGAGCTCCCAGTACCTGCACATAGCTATTCAATGCCCAGAATCAAATCTCACTGATTTACTCACTTCTCCTCCCACAGTGCACACCTCAAGGCTATAGGCTTCTCCAGGGCTCTTGTCTACGCTATTGCTGCAGCTTTAAATCAGCCAGGCATGGGCCTTCTTCTAGCCTTGGGTGATGCCCAGGGTGTGGCCAAGGGCCTCTGGCACTTACCTACACAACTGCTATTTTCTCAATCTTATGTAGAAACAAGCAGCAAGAGAAGCTTGTCAGCAATGTCACTCAGAAACACCAGGGAAGGCCTCGACCAAAGAGCAGCTGTGAGTGCCAGGGTGGCCCTGGCTGAAGCAGACTCAATCTGAGGTTTGCCTCCTTCTCTCTGGAGCACTGAGGCTGCACCCCCAATCTTAGGAGTGCTAATAGGATTCAACCTAGGGTCCCTTCACTTACTCTTCACAAATGTGCTGAAAACTGATGATTATTCCTTCTTTGCCTCACATTGGTGTTAACCAAACTACACCTTGCAGAAATGCTTCAGATTTTCTACTTTGTGGATCCTGTTCTTCTCCAATTTGTAGCAGAAATCTGGATTTTCCTACTGGTGGGACATTGAAACTGGAATTTGGATGTAGGTACTGAGTGAATGGACAAATTTGGATCCCTGTCTGGGTTCAGGCCTCTGTTCCTACTTAGATGCTCCGACTCCCTCCTTGGCAAAGGCTGGTATTCCCTGAAGCCCCAGGCCCCAACCTGTCACCACCACCATGCACCAATATCCCAGTGAATCTGCCTTCAGCCTCCTAGTAGGACCACAGAAGCAGCCATCACTCCCGACACTACGCGGGGGTTAAAACCCTTGGTGTGGCACTTGTCATGACATGCTTTATCATTTGGTTGAGCTCTACTGAACTGAGTTTGGTTAAAATCAAATTGGTTCTTTTAAAAGGATCCAGATGACCTCTGCAAAGATGTTGACAGGGTCCTCTCTCTTCATCTCACTTCTACTTTCTGTACTTGTCCAAGGTCACCCTCCCAGCCAGACCTATAGCACTGGGAGTGCAGGGATGTCTGTGCCATTTACCACCACATCTCCAGGGCTTTTGCTGGCACATCTGTGCTGTGAACACACCATTTTTCTTTTCAGTAAGATCAAGGCCACACAGATTGAAGTCTTCTTTAAAAGTATTTATTTCTGAATTGGTGCTCATTCTTGAAAGTTTAGAAAACACTGAAAATTGCAAAAATGGAAATGTTATCACCCATAATTATTATGGTATATGCCTTTGCAAGGTGTTTTTCTATTTGTGTAAAATCTTGTAGCCTGTTTTCCTTGTGTAACATAACATTGTAAATATTTTCTTTCATTTTTTATTTCCATGTCTATCCAGCATCTATTATATTTCCAAGATAAAGAAGCAGGGACATATAATGAAGGTGGATGAACACCACTTTCAAAATTCCCCCCAGGGAGAATGAGCTTGAGGCAAACAAGGGTAGCCAAAAAGAGAAATTAACACTCAGATCTGGTGTCTGTTACCCTGGCCATCCCAGAGAGGCTTACTTTATACAAGGGGAAAAATTCCAAGATTGGCCAGAATTTCAAGAAAAGACCCAAAGTAATTCAGTAAGGTTAGTTTTTTAATAAGTCTGTTCCCTAAGCAGTCTGTTTTAAAAGTGAGGATTGTCAATTCTTTTTTCCCTTGTGCCAACAGATCAGAATGGGGGCTGGGTGTGGCACTGGAGCACAGTCTAGAGTACCTGCTGGGTAGTGCCATCACACTGGCCCCTAGTTGTCCTACCACATGGAAGTTGAGGAATCCTAGGAAGAGGCTGCTGGGCAGTTGTGGGGGACACTTGGGGGCTCAGGGACACAGCATTGTTTCAGTGTTGTAAAAAATGTACCCTGCACCTGGCATCCTAGCTACCACTTGGAGAATGTCTTCTTTTATCATCATTCCCATGCACTCAGCTACCAGCTGGCCTGATGCCTTTGACCTGAGAGACATGTTTGATTGTTTGATGTCACCCGAGCTTGAACCAGAGAAATGTGATTTGGAAGATATCAGGGAAATAGTTCCAGAGCCAGCAGAGAACATACAGGGCTAGCTCTGAGGCTTTCTTTGTGGAAGTCTATGAAGATTCACTCCACCCCCAAATTACACTGGGCAGTCATACTTCCCTTTCACATGTCATCCCACATGTCTGATGTTGTCAAAACTCCATGGAGCTCCATAGTGGACAAAGGGAGCCCATAAAGTGAAGAACAGACAAGAGTTAATTAGGGACTTGAGTCCTGACCCTGAGTGAGCCAGCATCTCCTAAGACACCTTCTCTTGCTGACCCTCCAACCTCAACTTTTCTCTTCCTCTATCCATGTTTACTGCTTAGGTACAGGGACAATATTCTCAATGACCTAGAGTGAGAACTACAGCATTCATCCCAGTCCCAGCTTTCCTACTGATCTGTGTGAAGTACAAGTAAAGGTGAAAATGAAGTTTTCTAACAGGTGTATCAGTCTTGAGTATGGGAATGTTTTAGGGCTGTACAGGGGACAGGCCAAGGAGAGGCAAGGCAGGGCTGGGACATGTGCACTGAGTGGGGGATAAAAGCTCTGGAAAGTGCCTAGAGCAAATCCTACCCATCCCCACCACCCCAGTGTTACTTTCTCCCAACCTCCTACAAATTTAAGAACACAGTGGTCCTTGAAGTTTTCATAACGATTGTTACTGGTAGTAATGAGTTAACTCTATACTTTTGATGTATGCTCTGGAAACAGTTTGAAGAGAACAGAGGATATCAAACCAGGAAAGGAGGAGGTGAGAGAGATGGAGTAGGATCTCAAATGGCAGTGGTCTGCTGTTCTTTGGTGCTGCGGCACAGGACACTGGAGTAAGCTATTGACAGCCTCTTGCTGGTGGGGCTCTAGATACAGGACAAGTTGTCTAGGGAGGTTAGTGCAGCATAGCTTCAGATGGCATCTCTGCCAGACCTGAGTTATGCAACCTTAAATAAGTTTTTCAGCTTTTCTGCATCTCAATTTCCTCATCTATACAATGATCACATCTCTCAGGGCTGTTGTAAAGACTAATATTTGCAAGGCATCTGTCATGAAGTCTTAATAAAGTTACCTATTAACATGAAATTATCTTCCTGGGAATTATCAAAAATTTATGGAATGATTTGTTTATTGAAAATTTGTGTTCCTTAAGATCATTCTAACTTTAGAAAAAACAGGAAAAGAAAAGATGGATCATGAGTTATAACATTGTCTGACTTTGCTTTTATAGGAGGCATGGAAATTTACACTAGAGAAGGGAAGACAAATTGTCAAGAAATCCTCAAGTTTGGTAAGCAATCAATGCATTGAAGGCCAGTCCTTTTCCTTGGCGGTTTGCCTCTAATGGACCCTGCTCTCACACTCCAAAAGTTGGGGGTTACTCTGGATACAAGCCCACTTCATGCCATCGTGGCGTTAGGACTACAGTAGGAACACAAACTCCTTTCCATTTTTTCTCCTGCTTTCTCTTTGTGACAGCACCACTGACATTTTTGGCTGGATAATTCTTTGTTGTAGGGGTATCCTGTACTTTGGGGGGAATGGTCTAACAGCATCCTTGTTCTCTAACTAGTACATGCTAATTAGTACGATTCTTCTCTCTCCAGCCATAATGAACAAAATGTCTCCTGACATTGCCAAATGTCCTCTGGAGGGTAAAATCACTCAGTGCTCTCCAGTAGAGAGGTTGTAGGCTTCTGGTCCTCTACTTTCTAAAAAAAATGTGATCTCAGGCGAGGTGCTCAACTTCACGGAGTCTCAGTTTTCCTGTCATAAGATAAGGACAACAATAGTCCTCTGATGGGAGGACTAACAGAGGTTATGCATGCAAAAAACCTGGCACCATGCCTAGGGTTTACCAAGGACCCAATAACTGTCAAAGTCCTGTCCATTATTGTTGTCTCCACTAATTTGTCCTATTTGTAGTGACACTTTTATTCATTATTCAACAGGTAGAATGTTTAGTTCAAATATGTCACCATATTTGAACTAAACATAGAGTTAACATAGAGTTAAGTATCTACTTAGGCTCTGGTTGCAAATCAGCAGCAGTTGAAAAGAAAACAGAAAAGTAGAACTTTAAAGAACGGTGTCATCCTCAGTGCTGGAGATCCTGGCAGTAAGGAAGCATTCACTTACAATGAGAGGGCATTGACCTTGCCCTTGGATTCTCCCAGCTGGCTTATCTCATCATTCACCTGACACAATGCATTTAAGGTATTATTGATTTAGCAACATGGAAACAAAGGGAGGGAGAATCACTTATGTCGAGGCTTACTAGAGTTAGCAAATAAAAATGCAGGATGTCCAGTTAAATTTAAATTGTACACAAGCAATGAATAGATTTTTTAGTGTAAGTATGTCCTGCACAATATTTTTAGCTGTCAATCTATAGGGGGTCATGTGAGTTTTGATGTATAAGGCTGATTCATGATTAATGGCAACATGTAGGCATTTCTACATAATTGATTAACTAATCACAATGTTGGCTTCACCAATCATTATTTAAATCAGTGAATAATTAAAGGCTGACAGTAGCTACTTCAGCTAATCTACTTAAATTGTTAGATAAGAAATTGAAATACTGTGAAAACCCTAGACCACCTGCTTCAGAGCTCTGAGCAGAAGGGAGAATAATAGAATGTGTCTTTTATTCTTTTCAACTTAGGTCTAAGACTTATTTTCAAAGCATTGTTTATTTTACTAGCACAAACTGCTTGGCATTAACTCAAAGGCTAATTAAGACTTTACAATTTTTTATTTCTATCACCAGAATTGAAAGCATAATTTGTAAGGGAAGATTCCAATAATTACTTGCAAGAAGCCAAAAAAAAATCTACAGAAAAATTCAACAACAACAACAACAACAAAAAAAAACCCAGGAGCCTCCCCCAATTATTTACTCTGCAGATTAAAACTATCAAGGAAAAATCAGAAAATGCAAATAAGCATGTCTGAAAAACTGCTCAGAGAATATTGGCTGCAATGAATCCCCCCATGAAGGCTAGGACAGCAGCAGACCTAGCTGGAACAGACAGCAGCACACAGTAGGTTACATAGCTTTTCAACACAGCCTTTCAGACTGTGAGAATCCAGACTGGAGGAAAGTTAGTATCACTGAAGGGAATGAACCCACTCCGGAAAAAGGCCTGGATCTCAGAGGTGCTCAGAGGCTCGTTGAGGGCTTTTAATGGATTTGGGAGAGTGCTGAGTCTCCAAACACTTACAGTACCTGAATTATGGAATAATCTTATTTAATTCTCACCTCTACGAAGTAGATTGAATATTTTTTGTTATCAAACTCATTTTACAGCTGAGAAGACTGAGGCTGAGTAATTTAGTCACACTAGATATCTAGTAAATAAGAAAGGCATCATTTAAACCCTGAGTTAGCTTTTTGCAAGTTTAATGCCTTTCCTGCTATGCCAGTAGCTTTCCAACCAGGACTCCACCATGCTTAACTTCAGGTAGCACCCTTCATACCACAGGCTATGTGGATCCTGAAATCATACAGGGAACAGCCTGTGCAGCCAAACAGGAGGGTCTTAATCACACATCTACCTGCTCAATAGCAGCATCTGGGGAGCCTTTAAAAATTGCTTATGTCCAAACCCCAGCCAGAACCAATTAAATCTAGGTAATACATTACACAAAAAGTGTTGAAAAGCACTTCATCATGCAGAAATTCAATTTCAGGTGAGCTGTGTACAGAAAAGTGGTTACTGAGCCCTTTGACCTTCCACTTATGTCATTCACCCCAATTTTCTTTATTTGAACGCTGTTTGTTGTTCTGCATCCATGTAGCAAGGTGGTGTGTGGGGACTCTAAGAAGGCAAGTAGAAGCTGGCTGATAGATTGCATATTCGTGAAGATGTCTGACTACTGCCTCCAGGGACAGCCCAGATTTGAGACTTTCTTCTTAGATGAGATTAGATGCAGCCAAATGCAATATTTTAAATCCATTCCTGAGTTATTAGCAGCCCACATTTTTGTCTCCTCTAGCAACATTCAAACTGAAAGGAAGGGCTGGCCAATGTGTGAGCAAGGACTTCTGTAGTATGACTCTGGGTCCATCTGTTTTCTTTGCAAATAAATTGTCTGGAGGGAGGAGGATGGTTTGAAGACCATTGTCTTTCCCATTTTATGTGATGAAAAGACCAGATCATCAAAACTGCTGCATCTCACACATCCCTAAGCAAGCTACCTACTTATCCATGGCCCACTTCCCAGCCTCTGTTTCTGCACAATGAATATCAATGGCAGCTGCAGCCTTCAGGCTGGATTTTGACAATGAACAGCTGTGCAATTATAAAATTTTATTCTATTATATCTCTTGTATAGTAATTATAAGACTGTTCATATAATTTTTATATGTTGGTTATCATCAGTGTTAAAATCTACATTGTCATTAGAATAATTAGACCAAGTCTTTCAGACTAAAGTAAATATTAAAAGAAGTAACTTAAGCATTCAAATGCAACCTGACTTTAGACTCTGGGTCTCAGAATATGTCTGTACTTACAAACCACCGCTAATGTTTTGCATAATTGCATGCTGATGTGTGTTTTACAGTGTGTCTGCAGTTCTGATCTCAATCAGACTCCAAGTCTTTCAGTTCATCTTGGGCTCAGATATGTCCTTGTGCTCTGACATCCTGGACTCAGATGTGTTCCTTAGCTCCAGCAGTAGACGCATATTTATTGTTAAAAGGGGATTTGTCATGGTATTTCATCTGTGAATATCTTATATTTTAATGAGATTAACCCCTTTATTACTCTTTTTTACCCCATCCACCCTACCCAGCCTCGGTGAGTTTCATTCTAACTTCACAAACAAGGATGTAATGTACTTTGAAATATTGCTGTGATTTTAATTTGCAATTCC